GAAAACAACTCTCGGCGATCTTGAAGCTGCTCTAGCATCTATGCGACCTCAAAGGCTTCAGAATCGCACCGCACTACGATGTCGATTAGAGTCCACAAGCTGCAGCCCATGGTGCATACTCATCTTCTTCTTAGTCGTCGTCGTCCTTTTCGGTGCTGAAGGTCGTGCGCTTCTTGGGCGCTGGTACCTCGCGCCGCTGCGCCGCTGCTGCCTACGCCATGCTCCATGGAATGCACGTCATTCGAGCACATGCACCTGCTGCGCTCGGCGAAGCGCACGCTCTTCGTCCGTCACGTTCACCGACCGCTTCTATCGCTGCCATGAGCAGCTGGATGGCAGAGGAACATGGCCTACCGGCGGCGGCGGCGGCGGCGGCGCTGCTGCCGCCGAGGGCCCGGGCGCGGGCGGCGGATCCTGGAGCGAGTAGCCCGGACCCTTGAAGGTCTGCTTCTTGATCTTCGCCTCCTGCTGGTGCTTGGAGACCTTCTCCGTGACCTTGGCCTTCGTCTTCTTGAGCCAGTCCATGTTCGTCTTGCCTTGCTTCCGAAATGTGTGTCAAGCGAAAACCTCGTTACAAGAACATGCGCCTTCAATCGAGGGCAACCCAGGTGCAACCGGATTCTATCAATGTATCGAGTTTGCGGTCAGCGAGCTTTCGCCAGAACCAGCAGCACCCCCGCTCCCGCATGGACCACGCATGTGCTTGCTTTGCATGGGGCTCATTGCCTGCGTAGACTTGGGGGTAGACGCACTGCGTATTGCAACCATCGATGGCAAGGGAATCAAAGAATTAGTCCAACGTTGTTAGCAAGGGTAAGTACAACGCACTGGTACCGTACTACGGACCTTGCGAACCGTCCTTCAACGCGCATGCCAAGCACTCAACGGCCGGCATGCTGCTATGCTGTCGTTAGCGTTGGTTGTCCTTGCTACCCTCGCAGTGTACGGTAGACGTAACGACATTCTCAACGCGCATGCCTCGCGGAAGCATTTTCATTTTGAGATTCATTCCCACTATGATGCAGCCAGCTATCGCAATGACGGAAGCGCTCGACATCATCATCGACAGCGACGCGACGTACCCGGACATTGAAGGCGGCCATGGCGTCGACCACAATGGCATTCCGCAGCGCCAGTGGCGACAACACCTCTGCGGCTGCTGGAGCGCGTGCGTGCCCAACAGTACGTTATTGAGTTTTTGAGTTTATGAGTGGTGTCGCATGACGCTCTTGCTTCCCTAGCACTCATGAGCGCGCTCTGCCCGTGCATCTCGCTCGCCCAGATCAGCTTCCGCATGGGCTTTTCATCCTCTTCGTACGTGGCGCAGGTGCTCAGCACGGGTCTCTTCTACGCTGTCGTCCTTCTTGGCTGCATCGTCGGCGACGTCGGCGGCACCTTGCTCGCGATCGTCTTTGCCTTGGGGCTCTGGCTGTACATGTACCGGCTTCGGTCGCGGCTTCGCACCGTCTTCCAGATTCCTGGCTCGGTACGTCCGTGTCTCGTGCCCTGGCATTTAGCTCATCGTACTGTCATGAGCTAGATGCTCGAAGACCTCTGCGTGACCCTTCTCTGCCCGATTTGTGCCACGTCACAGATGGCCGCCCACGTGCAGTCGTTCGACGAGGGCACGTGCTCGTTCGACGCCAAGTCAGTCCTGCCCGGCTACCACCTCTAGACCACAATGCGCAAGATCGTTTTAACCCTTCAACGCGCAACTTTCTACAACTTGCCCAACTCGCGATTCTTCAACCCGATATCAAGATTTGCATTCCTGGCAGCAGCCACCTTGTCTAGGCACACAGACCGCTGGACGGATGCGAGGACAGGTATCTGCTTGTTGACAAGAGGCCCCGTTGATCCTGTGCATGGGCAAAGAGGAGGACGGGCTGCGATCCGCTTGCCACGTGGTCCGGATACCGTGATTGGATGGCAACAGCAACCTCTCTCATGCTTCGAGCCGTGCTGGACACGGTCGCCAACGAGAGCACGTCTTAAACGAGGTGCTCATTCGCATTGCCCACGCATTGCGGCGCCGACGGAAGCTCTCTTGTTTCTGGTCATCTGCCGTGGGTCTTGCGTCATCTCCACCCCTCGCGCGTGGTGACGCTTGACGCTTGCAAGATTTAACCAAGCACTCACGGCGTCGACGCACCCTTGGACCACGAGCAACAATGTTGTCCTGCTCGTCTCCAGGAACAACGTCGGTGACGTTCGCTCGTCACGGGTCGCGTCCAGGTCTCGCCCCTGGATACTTTGTAGGTCTCGCCCCTGGATAGTACTAATGGTATTCGCCTCGTGAGCCCACCGTCGACCGCACGTCGATGGTACCATTTGTAGCCCACGTTAGATCGACTCCAGACCCTAACCTCAACATTGCACATTCTGATGGTCTACTGGTATCTATCTATCTATCTATCTATCTATCTATCTATCTATCTATCTATCTATCTATCTATCTATCTATCTATCTATCTATCTATCTATCAAGTGCCGTGGGCTCTCGATCTGGTCAGGATCAATCCCTGCCCCTTGCGTCGGTGGTCGTTTTGTGTGGCGTCGTCGGTGGTGCAGGGCGGTGTCGATATCAGAGTCGTGTGATCGAATCGAATGGTCGATAGATTAGACGAGCACCTTGACTTGAAACAACTGCGACGGGTCGGCGCTACTACTGCTACTGCTACTGGTGGTCGGTTTGCGCGCCGCCGACCGACGGGGTACGACGGCGTCGGCAACGTCCCAGTTGTACTTGCCGCTGGTCTGAATGACCTTGCGGTTGTGGTCGTTCTCGTCGATCGAGCTCAGTGGCGAGATACTCGATGGCTTGGCAAATACGACGACGGGCGCTGGTTGCGTCGACACGCGCGGCGGCACAAAGGTCGACAAGGGCTTGTCGATGGGCACGAACGTACTGTCGCAGCAGAGCGACTGCTCCAGCGGGTTTCCGAGCTCCGTCTCGTCCTCGTCCTCGTCCTTATCCGCATGGGCCAGCGTTCGAGGATAGGATGGCTCGTTGTCCTGGAAGAAGCGATGCCTCCGCGGCGACGGCGCCTGGACGGCATCCCGCGTGGATCGGTACGGCGACCAGTTATGCGGCGAGTGCGACGCCGTCGGAGACAGCGTGTGCGCGTCAAACTGCGTCCAGCTGGCCGGGCGTTGGTCGTAGACTGGCGACGGGGCCGACCGCTGTAGCGATAAGAACCGCTCCGTCTCGTCGGCGAGCCGCTGGCGCTCGAGCGCAATGACCTCTGTTCACAAGCTGACTGAGTACGTACGTATCCATAGATTCTAGAGTACCTCGCTCTTGGCGGAGCTGGAGGCGCTCAAAACGATCTCATCGAGAAGCGCTTGCACCTCGGACGAGCATCTCGCGCGAGTGCTCATTGCCCGATCGCG